TTTAATTTTAGGTAATCAAAATTGTTTATTTTATCTCCTCTGATCCTCTCTATCCCTTATTTGGCCACAAACTGTTCCCTGTATCCGTAGATCTGAAATGTAATTTCTTCCTTGCTCCTCTAATGTGTTTACAATGTCATCCTAAGTCACGTACCCATTTGGAGCTTATTTTGGTATATGCTGTTGGTCTGAATCGTTTCTGTCAGACTTAACGGTTTTCCCATAAGTTTTTATCAAATAGTAAGTTCTTCGCCCAGTAGTTCAGAGTTTTGGGCTTATCAAACACCAGGATCCCAGATTCTGTCGTTTCTGCATGTTGTGTATCTGATCTGCGTGAGCCAAGTCCTCTCTTAGGTATGCAGACCCTTTAGTAACCTAGCCCTTTCTAGTGTTCTTATACCTTATCACCCCTCAGTCCTGTAACACTGGTTTACTTGCTGTTCCTTGGATAAGATTCCTACTTGCCATAGATATAACTCATTTGTTCATAGCTGTTTGCATGTTGCTTCCCCTGTTAGAGTGTAACCTCCTTAAAGGCAGGACTGCTGTCTTTAGCTTTTCTTTGTATCCCCAGCGCCTAGTGCAGTGCCTAGGACAGAGTAGTCACTTAACAAATACATTTTAGCTGTTCTGCAGATTGACCCCATTACTTTTTAACCAGTACCCAGTCGTCGTGGTTATTATTTTATAGTGTGGTTCAATATCTGGTATTGCTAGGTTTCCTTCCTCCCCACTTTTCCATTATTTTCTTTGAGATTCTTGACACTTTGATGAATTTTATATTTTTCCAGTTCTGTAAAGTAATCTTTGGGTAGTCTGGTATGGCATTGAATAAATAAATTAATTTAGGTAATATTGTTGTTTTTATTATATTGGCTCAGCCTAATGCATTTTAATTAAGTGAAACCAGGGCAGTGTCAGCTAGGTCCCAGTATCCTTGTCTCTTAGGGCTGAGTCACTCAGGTTAAGAGTAAGAGGGTGAGGGCCACGTTGTACAAAGCAAATGGATAGGCAAGTTTTATTACGCCTCCTCTGTTTCCCCCTTCGTCTCTTCCTGCTCCTCACCCCACTTTTCTGGCAGAGCTTAAGTACCTACAGGGAAGATGTTTAGGGCTGTCTGACCTGCTTTTAGGGGGAGTGGTCCTGCTTTCTCCCTACTACTCTTGTGTTCTATAAAGTCTTCTCCTTTGCAGCATGGAGCATTCTGTCTAAAGATCTTCCCTCAGCTAGGGCTCTGGGTTTCTTCCTCTCTTCCTCTAGGGCAAGGGATTCTTATCCTGGCATTTGTAAACTTTTCTTTAAAATTTTTAAAGGGTTTCACAACTATTTATTTATTTTTAGGTTTCAACATTCACTTCTATGAAATTTTGAGTTCCAAATTTTCTCCCCATCTCGCCTCTCCCCCTACCCCAAGATGGCATACATTCTGAATGTTCCTTCCCCTAATCTGCCCTCCCTTCTATCCCCCCTGACCCCTTCTCTTATCCCCTTCCCCTTCTGTTTTTCAGTAGGGCAGGATATATTTCTATACCCCATTGCCTGTATATCTTATTTCCCATTTGCATGTAAAAACAATTTTTAACATTAGTTTTTAAAATTTTGGGTTCCAAATTCTCTCCTTTCCTCCCTCCCTACCCACCCTCATTGAGAAGGCAAGCAATTTGATGTAGGTTATAAATGTATAGGCATGCAAAACACTTCCGTAGTAGTAATGTTATAAAAGACTTAATTATATTTCCCTCCATCCTATCCCACCCCCTATTTATTCTGTTCTCTCCTTTGACCCTGTCCCTCCTCAAAAGTGTTTGCTTCTGATTACCCCCTCCCCCAATCTACCTTCCCTTCTATCATCCCCTTTCTCTTATCCTTTCCCCCCCCCCATTTTCCTATAGGGTAAGATAGATTTCCATACCCAGTTAATTGTGTATTATTCCTTCCTTGAGCCAAATCTGATAAGAGTAAGATTCACTCATTCCTTCTCACCTCTCCCCTCTTCCCCTCCACTATCAAAGCTTTTTCTTGCCTATTTTATGTGAGATAATTTACCCCATCCTACCTCTCCCTTTCTCCTTCTCCCAGTACAATCCTCTCACCCCTTATTTTTATTTTTTAGATATCACCCCTTCATATTCAATTCATCCTGTGCCCTCTGTGTCTGTCTGTCTCCTCGTTATTTTTTACAGGTATTTGGAGGGGTTTGGGGGGAGAGCTCAAGCAAGTCACTGCTTCAGCCCTCTTATTTCATAACTACTTCAGTAGAACTTGGTTTCCTTTGTACTATGTGTATTTGATGCATTTTAAAAACATTCTGAGAATGTGTCCATATACTGCATCAGACTACCAAAAGCATCCATGACCCAAAGATTAAAGAACTTCTGGAAAGCCAGGCCAGGCTTCTCTGCGGACTGGGGCAGAGGTCCACTGCGGTCCGATATCAGCTCAGGTGTCTCTTTCTGCAGTGCTGCTTGGGAGCTGGAACAGCCTCTTTAAATGACTGGCCTTCGGGGGAGGATGTATATGTGTAATCTAAAGCTGCCTCTCGGGTCTTGTGGCAGATTTTACTTAAGCCCTGGAGAAGAAGATTTCAGAAGCTGCCACTCTCTTGTGAGCAGCCATTCACCTTCACAGACAAGGTCTGTGTTTAGGGGGAGGGGGATGCAGTAAGGGCAGAAACAGCAGTAATATAGCTCCCTCTACCTGTTCTCCTTAGTGACCACACAGGCAAGGACCAAACCCTGGGGGCTTCATCCCTTAGAACAGGAGTGCTTAACTTCCTGTGAGTCACAGACCCCTTTGGCAGCCTAGTAAAGGCTCATCCTGCTGTGATTTGTTACCTGTATTCATAATGGAAAGAGCAGCTCTATTTCAGTTAATGCAGTGGCTCCCAAGCTTTTTCAGTCTTGGGATCCCTTTATGCTTTTAAATTATTGAGGACTCCCCAGAGAGCTTTTACAATATTAATTGTATTAGAAATGAAAACATTTTAGTGTTATTATGAAAATAGTTTTGACCTGGGGGGACCTTCAGTGGTCTTCAGACCACACTAAGAACCTCTGAGTTACAGGTTAGTGAAAATAAACCAGTAATTTTTTCCCCCCCATCTTAACTTAATGGACCTAGAGAAGGGGGTCCATGGACTTCAGGTTAAGAACTCCTGAGCTGAACTTCTAGGGCTTTATCCCAGAGAGGTCATACAAATGGGAAAGGGACCTACATGTACTAAAATATTCATAGCAGCTCTTCTTGTGGTGGCAAAGAATTGGAAATTGAGAGGATGCCCATCAATTGGGGAATGGCTGAGCAAGTTGTGGTATATGAATGTAATGGAATACTATTGTGCTGTAAGAAATGATGAACAGGCTGACTCCAGAAAAACCTGGAAAGACTTGCATGGTCTGATGCTGAGTGAAGTGAGCAGAACCAAGAGGACTTTGTACACAATAACAGCCATGTTATGCAATGACTAAGATTGTTAAACTGAACCCTTCTCAGCAATACAAGGATCTAAGACATCTCCAGAGGCCTCAGGATGGAAAATGCAGTCCACATTTCAAAGAAAGAACTATGGAAGTTGAATCGTTATCATTTTTCTTTCTCTTCTGTTGAGTTTTGTTTCTTCTTTCTGATGGTTCCCTCCTATTGGTTTTAATTTTTGCTTACAACTTCACTAATGTGAAAATATGTTTAATAGGAATGTAAATGTATAGCCTGTGTCAGATTGTGTGCCGTCTTTGGGAGGATGGTGGGGAGGAAGAGAGAGAAAAATTTTAAACTCAAAAGCATATGGAAGTGATTGTTGATAAATCAAAATAAATTAATAATTTTTTTTAAATGGGGGGAAAAAACCCAACAAACTGCTGAGCTAAGGGGCAGCTAGGTGGATAGAGCACCAGCCTGGATTTAGGAGATCTGAGTTCAAATCCAGCCTCAGATACTTACTAGCTGTGTGACCCTGGGCAAGTCATTTAACCCCGATTGCCTAAAAGAAAAAAAAGAACTCATTAGGATTTGTCCAGCCAGCTAGCTGAGATCAGGGTAATCTAGTTAGCAAAATGAGCTAAGTAGGGGGCAGCTAGGTGGCACAGTGGATAGAGCTTTGACCTTGGAGTCAGGAAGACCCGAGTTCAAATGTGAACTCAGACACTTGACACTTAACTAGCTGTGTGACCTTGGGCAAGTCATTTAACCCCAATCACAAAAATAAGTAAATAAATAATGAGTCACGTAGATGAGACTGCTGTCTTTGATCTTGAAGTAAGGCCTAGAGGAAATGAAATCAGAGTAGTAATTCTTTGTATTTATTTGTATGATGACTTTAACTTTTTTCTTTCCTAAAGTGCTTTTTAAATCTTTATTTTGTCTCCAGCTACCCTGTGAGGTAAATAAAACAAAGATTCTCTCCCTTTTAGAGTTGAGGAAACTCTAGTAAGTTAAATGAAGTTCCATTACACTGGCTTGTGTTCATTCTATAGCTTGTTCTGATCCTAATCTTTTGAAGGTTAAGTCTTCTATTGATGGTGAGAGATTCAGAGAAACTCGGAAAGATCTGTATGAACTAAAGCAGTATGCATGGTAAAACATGAAGACAAAAGGAAAACACCACTGTTACTATGTTGATGAAAGATTAAATAAGCTCTGCACCCCCAAATCAAGCCAGTTCTGGACTGTAACTCCCATGTAATACATGTCGCCAGCTTATGAGAGAAATAAAAGGTGGACACGTGACTTAAAAAAAAAAGACTAAGGATAAAATGAGTAATTCAAAAAACCACAGAATAATGAGGGAGGATTCATATACAGAAACAACTGATATAAAAATGAGGCATTAATAAAGTGTTTTTTTTTTTAGCCTCCCTTTCCTCAAGATAAGTCAATGTTGGAGAACGTTTAGTTAAAGGCCCTCCCAACGTGCCTAGTTGGGTTCCATTGTATCCCTTTTTCCTTCCTGATAAATCCTAGCAGGGTGTTTTCTCACTCATTGAGTGTGGTTTCTCTTACAGATGCGCTGGTATCCTCCCTCTGAAGCCACGCAACAAGGATGGAAATCTCGTCAGTTCTGTTAGTCCTTTAGTAAGTGCCAGTCCTGAGGATGAATGATGCTCTTCTTGCTTCCTTTCCCCTCCTCTTCCCCAGTCCCAAGTCCTGGTTGAACCCCTGCTGCCCTTGACCCGTATTTATTTCATTGGATGGTTAGTAAGGGGATGCTTTCCACCTCTGGTGTGGCAGCCCCTTCTGCCTTCCCCTTCCCTCGTGTTCAGGACCTACGGGCTGGAATTCTCCATGCCTTCTAGCAAAAGAAAGGAGTCTTTAACCTTCAAGCCCCAGTAGTTGGCCTAGGCCCTGAGCCTCTCCACTGGAGTTGCCAGTCAGTATTGGGCAGTGAAGTGGCTCGGCTGGATAGAGTGCTGAACCTGGAGTCAGGAAGACTTCAAATCCTGCCTCAGATTTTTATTAAGCTGTGTGACTCTGGGCAAATCATTTCACTCCCATTAGCCTCAGTTTTCTTATCTATAAAATGGGGATATGTAATAATTACCTACCTCCCAAGGTTGTTGAGGATAAAATGAGTTAATACTTGTAAAGTTTTTTGCAAACCCTTTAAGTGTTATATAAATACTAGCCATTATTCTTGTTGTTATTTGGGCCTTTCCTGTTTCTTATCATAAAAACCAGACATACTCTTATTATGATGTCATGGTGTGCCCCCCCCTTTTTGGTGTTTTCATTAATCCTAGTCTCCACTCACTACCACCTATTTCCCTTCTCAGGTCTTACCACAACAGCTTAACCCCCAGTCTGAGTCCCCACTGGAGCATCCAGCTGGGGAGAAAGCCGTAGAGTCAATTTGCAAATTGTTTTGGTGGGCACCAGCATTGGTGCTGGGCACTTCGGTCACCTCTGGTGCCCTCATGGGGTGCTGCCATCTGTCCTACCCCCCCAAAGACTGTGAATTATAAAACCAACTTAATGGACTCTGTCCCATTTTCTTTCTTTTATTCTTACCTGCCATTCCCACCCTGCCCCAGAGGCTCTCCTGAGGCCTGGCTAGAAGGGCACAGGGTCTTCTGGCTGAGACAAGGAGGCTCAGGGCTGTGGCCGACTGTGGGACAGAGCTGTTCCCAGGCCTCTGCCGCCCAAATCGTTTTGTTTCTGTAGCTCTGCTTAAAGGAAACAAGACGTTTAATTTTGCATGTTTTCTGGCATGAATTAAGACATTTAAACTTGTGTATGTGCGAGTGTACAGTTTGTTCTAGCGTTAGTGTCACCATAGCAACAGGTTTTGGCCCACTTACTGGTCCATCATTCCCCACCCCCTCTCTGTGCTCTCCTCCCCCACCCTTCATCCCCCATTATCTCTAGCTTCTGTGAAGAGAAGACTTGGCTTTTAAACTGAGAAATGATTCCTCTTCCCAGTCTTCATCTGCTCCCCCCAAGATGGGCAGAATTAAGGAACTACCTGTCCAGTGATGCACTGGGTTTTCTCTTACCTTTTGCTTTAGGGTCCTCCTCTTTCTCCTCTGATGGGCTCTCCCCAGAGACCAGTTGTCAGATAAATCTGTGTCCCCCCCCCCTCCGCCTTCTGCTGGAGCATGTGCCCTTCCCTATCTTGCCAGTTGCTGTCATCCTTTCTGAACTTCCAGACAACCAAAAAAGTGCAAGTATTTTTGTACCATGTGTAACAAGGCTATATTTATGCATCATAAAGGATTTTCGTGTGTGTGTTTGTGTGCAGTTAACAAAGAGAAATGGTTAGCCCTGTCAGATAAGTTAATGTTTAGTTAAGCTTGAAGAAAGGAGATTCTGTTCTTCAGCGATAAGCGTTTTTGTCAGGCATTAGTTTAAAAAAAATGAAGGAAACAAATTGTGCAATTTCATTTTGTTTTTGTGAGCTTATGTCATATTACCGCTTGGTCCTGAAGTGCTTTACCTATTACCTACAGCTGTCTAGCTTGTATTCAGACTTTGGAGAATAGGTTGCTATTATCATTGCTGATCCTATGAGAATGTGAAACTGGATAATATATGAAATGCAAAATAAAGTATCATCCAAGGTGACTGCTGTGGCCTCTGACCTCTTTCTTTGCTTCCTTGAGTACAAACTACCACTGCTACCACAGAGTCTGTCCTCTTGAGGGTGGAGGGAAGGGGAAAAGACTCATCACTGAAATCAGAGGTTTCACAACATAGGATTGGGAGGAACCAGGATGAAATGTAATTGAGAGATAAAACAAGCTAAATCACCATATGATAGAATGTGATCATGTTAACATGTGGCTTGCTAAGTCAGTATGGGCCCTATAGGGATCTTCATATGGATGGTCAGCGGCCCCCATTTCTGCTTGAGTTGGACAACTACCAGCATAAAATGCTTACTTTCCTGTCCTAACTCAGCCCTTCTTCCTACACCATATTCTTCATTGCTTCCTGAGACTCTGAGGCCATATGTAGCAAGTTTAGGCAGAGTGACTGTCACTGTCAGGGGTTAGATTTGCCCACATCGAGGGCTGGGTGGGAACATAGATCATTTTTGACTTTTTCCTCCTCGGTGCCTGCCACACAGTAGGAGCTTAATAAATGCTGCCTGGCTAGTTGGTTGAAACCAGAAACCCTATGAGGTCATGATGTTGATTTAGTTAATTCAGTGCTCTTTCTACTATGCATTGCTACACATTCAATATATGACTCGGCAAGTAATTCTAATTAAAGTGTTAGAAAACATACTTCAAAATCCACAGCACTGAGTTGTTGGAAGATTTGGCCTTGAAACTCAGATCTTCCCCTTAGTAGCTATGGGAAGTTGGGAATGTCCTTCACCTTTTTAGTTAGGCTTCTGTTTACTCACCTGTAAAATAAGTTGGTTAAGGGTAACTACAAGGCCCTCTCTACAACTCTAAATAGGAAAAATGGGCTTTTGTTTTATTTTTCACTTGTTTTGACTCAGGTTGGTTTTGGGTTTTTGTTTATTTTTTAATTGAGGGGAGACTTTGGAAATATCAGTTTTTGTCCCAGTGATTTGTTGTGTCACTTTCTCTTTTTGGTTTGTTTTTTTTTTCTTTTGGTGAGGCAGTCAGGGTTAAGTGACTTGCCCAGGGTCACACAACTAGTAAGTGTCAAGTGTCTGAGGCCAGATATGAACTTGAGTCCTCCTGACTCCAAGGCCGGAGCCCTCTCCATTGTGCCACCTAGCTGCCCCTATTGTGTCACTTTCTTAATTATAGTTGCCATTTATCATCCTAGGCTCATTGATTTGGAGTGAAAGGGATCTTAATTAAATCCATCTAGTCTGTCCCCTTTATTTTATAGATTAAGAAACTTCAGGCCTGGGGAAAGTAAGCGATTTGCCCATGTTACAGACAAGGAATTGAGCCCAGGTTCCGTGACTCCAAATTCAACTTTCCACTATCCTTTATAAGCTTGACAAACCTGATCTCACTTGCTCCTGACCACCCTATAAGGTGGGAACTATGGGTATTGTCTTTCTTCTTTCTACTTTCTCCTTTTGACATGCCAGCAGTTTCTCCCTATGTCTTTTAGAGGGAGACCAACTTCTCTTTATCTTTATGCGGCTCTTGCTAAAGGTGTGACCAGATTAGTTGACTCCCTTCCGGGAGGTTGGCAGAAGGGGTTCTCTGCAGAGACCTCACCCTGCTCTCTTCCCTCAAGAAGAGAAAAAGAAGAGAGACAGATGCTCTGGCTACCTCCTTCCACCTGCCTTTCCTAAGTCACTGATGCTTAGCTCAGAAGTGGCTGTCAGGGATGTCTTGATCTTACAAGTTGTCTTACAGATTGTTGAAGATTGGGAGTTTTTAGGCCCTTCCATCTCCCCAGCACCACCTACACTATGAAAGCTTATAATTCCTTTCCAGGGGAGAAAAATTTGACCCTACCCGAGAATCCTGGAAATGCAAATACCTCTGGAAGCAGTACTTGGTACCTTTTTATTTCTCATCTTTAACCCTTCCCCAAAGGGATTTCACATAGACATATCCCCTCCTGCACAACATAGGGAAGGTTTTCAGTTGCTTACACTTAATTGCAGGTTTTGACTAGTAAGAAGGCCTGAGGGCTTGGACATCTAAATCTGAGGAGTGGGACCAACACTGACATACATAGGGAAGAGTTACAGAAGGCTGAAAGCAGATTCTGACTTGATGCTTTTAACAAAAGCTGGACCCACTTGCCTCCTACCGCCTTAGATGCCGTCCAAGCTGCCTGGCCAGTTATGCCTGCAGGGCAGATGAAGACAGCCTGTGGGTTGGCCAGTGTGGATATTGTTGCTTCGCTGACTCGCTCACACAGAACATTTATTTATTTGTTTATTTTTCCCACAGAACATTGCTCTCCCTAAGGGATCATCCTTTGCAGCCCGAATCTTGCAGATGAGAAGCCCACTTCTCTAAGGCCTGGCGGGACAAACCGTCCGAAGCCTTAGTCTTATTTTCCATTCTGTCTCACAATTTCCTATGAACACCTTAGCTGCCAGTGAAAATGATGGCTGTTAATAGCATCTTAACTCTGGATTTGGGGGAAAAAAACCCAGAGAATGATAATGGAACCATGGTGGTCCAAGTACACAGGCTATAAGGGAGATACTTTAGAGCAAGGGACCTTCAGATGACACCACCTGGCAGGATGCCCTGGTCTTCCAACACTTGAAGATGAATTGGATTGGATGCTAGGAGACAGAATAGTGGTGGTGATGCCAGTACCCAGAATGAGAGGGGCCCCCACATGACAGCTCACTGTACAGTTATCCTTCCATATCCCAGGGATTAGGAGCATGGTGCCCCCAACACCTGGAGAATCCACATAAAAATTTTTGGCCCTCTCTTTGTGCCAGAGATGAAGTGTGAATCATGGTGGTATTAAAAGATAAAATATGTTGATATTATACAATGCTGTCTATATTTTATGCATTTCTGAGTTTGTAAACTTCTTCTGTGTCATCTTCTGGCCTTTGTGAGTCATCTGTGGCTTCTGCAAAACTCCCCAATAATTCCCATTTAATTTCTTATGTGGACCCATTCAAAACTGTGATGGGGAAAGTTGTGACGTGGAAGGGATAACTGTGCTTATAGTCCTCAGCCAGATGAATTAGGGGACATCTCATCTAAGAGACCCTCCCCCCCTTCACTGGGGGGAGGAGGGAGAATAGCTCCCACCCTGTTCCAGGGAGGAGAAGGAAGATTCTTGACCTACTTTAACTATGCTCACAATGACAGACAGGCCTGGTTTAGGGTGTGAATTATTTATTGAGGCCCCTGAAGCTGCCCACAAGGGGGGTTGGGAGTGGGGAGCTACAGAGAGCTTCTCCATAATTTAAAACTCCACATTTTTGCAGCAGCATCCCCTGCTTTCCCTTGGGGGGGCACGCCTTCATGCTCTGTTGAGCAGAGCACAGCCATGCTTCAGGAAAGGGCAGAAAAGAGGCCAGGTTTGGTCTGCAGAGAAGAGCCCTGGGGGCCACAGCTGCTGGGTAGTGACCCAAGGCCTGAGCAGGATGCAGGTGGAAGACGAAGTGGAAAGGCTTGGGTACACAGAGGAAAGGGCTGCTCAAAAGGAGAATCATAGGAAGACTAAAGTGGGAAATTCACCTTGGCAGGAGCCATGAAGGAACTACAGTGAGCCTTTGGTGCACTGAGTCAGTGAAGAAGAACAGTGACATTTATGTAGGTTTGGGAGTTTACAAAATGTTTCACGTACATTATTCTCATTTCATCCTCCTAAGGTAGGAGGCACACACATTTTTACTTCACAGATAAGAAAATTGAGGCCCACAGGTTGTGATTTGGCATGGGTTGAATGGTAAGTGGCTGAGCTGAGAAGCAAGATCTGACTATGCTCTTTGGATTAATTTTACCACAGCTGAGGTCCCCAAGGCCTCATCCTCCCTTCCCTGGCTCCTCCCTCTCACCTGGTCTCTGAAGTACTCACTTTGCCTTACTGCTGTGACCATTTCTTGGACAGTCCCGATTTCAAGGGAAGCAACTGCACTTTGGATTTAATCTCCTGAAAGCATGGACTTTTAACCTTTTTTTTTTCTTTTCACGTCCAGCATTTTACATAATCCCTGGCACATAGTAGGTACATACTAAATGCTTGCTGACAAAGATTGTTTCCTTTACAGACTGTGTCCCCAGGCTGGGTAGATGTCAGTCACTGAGACATGCCAAATCCCATAGGAAACAGAACTTCTCACTCCACGGTGAAAGGAGTTTTAGGCACCATCGGATGAGGTGGGAGGCTTTGGAGGGACAGGAAGCCCTAAGACCATGCCAGTAAGCTGCTGTCTAGTCTGTTTATAGAAAAGGCTGATACTAGGGAGGATGGTTGAACAACTATCGACCTTCCTAGGTTGGGAAGAGCAGGGGCAATTGACTGGACTCTGTGGGATCTTGGCACAGAAGCAGGAGGAACCCTGCTAGTTCCTTAGACTAATCCGAAGATTCTTAATGGGCTATTATTCCTGGCCCTTCAGCTAGACTGGGTTTGTTAGATCTGTGATTTTCATCATAAACCAATAGAATAGAAACCACTTCTGGCTGCCAGGAACCACAGGGAGTGCTGAACGGGGACCTGAGAGAGTGTTCCCTAACCTCACAATGTTTCTTAGGGCTAGCTCTACTACCTTTCTGTTTAGTCCTACTGGCTGCTGCTGCTGGGTGACCTGATGTCTGAACGGGATAGCAGATAATCCCCACAGTAACCGAACGAGTTTAATCCAAGAGGTCCCTCCAGTGGACAGAACCCTGCAGGGCGGGCCAAGGTAATTGCCATGGTGGTCACCCAGAGCAGAGCCAGAGTCTGGAGGTGCCCACTGAGTCGTGTCCACTCTACTTCGGGGATAAAAGGGAGGAGGGGGAGAGTTTGTTGCCTTGGGGAAAGGGAGGGGGGAGAGGGAACAAGAAGCGATAGCTGCCCCAGGGGCGTCACCAGGCTTCTGAGAGAATGAAGAGTGAGTGAGCGCTTGCTCCCGACCACAGACAAAGGGGCTCTGCCCCCTCGACCTTGCCTGCTCTCTTGGCACTGACATTCACTCCTGGGTCCCCCTCCAT